TTCAACAAAATTGATAAACCTTTGGTCAACCTAACCAAAAATAGAAAATTAAAGTCCATAATATCATCAATCAGAAATGACAAAGGCACAATAACAACAGACACCTCAGAAATTCAAATAATCCTTAATCCATAATACAAAAAACTTTATTCCCAGAAATATGAAAATCTGAAAGAAATTTGACCAATACTTGGAAGGATGCCAACTTCCTAGACTTAATCAGAAAGAACTGGAAATACTGGACAGATCTATATCAAGTACTGAAATAGACTCAACTACATGAAATCTCCCTAAAAAGAAAAGCCTGAGACTAGATGGCTTCACATCAGAATTCTACCAAACCTTTAAAGAGGAACTAGTTCCTATATTACTTAACCTTTTCCAAAACATCAAAAAAGAAAGAATACTTCCCAACACATTCTATGAAGCAAATATCAGCCTGATCCCCAAACCAAGAAAAGACTCAACAAGAAAAGAAAATTATAGACCAATATTTTTAATGAATACAGATGCAAAAATATTCAATATGATCCTAGAAACAGAGTCTAGTAACATATCAAACAAATTATACACCATGACACTCCTTTCATCCTAGGGTCTTAAGGTTGGTTCAATATACATAAAACTATAAATATAATACATCACAAAAACAAACTAAAAAACAAAGACCATATGATTCTCTCAATAGATGCAAAAAAAGTTTTTGACAATATCCAGCATCCTTTCACAATCAGAACACTTAAGAAAATAGGTATAGAAGTGATTTTTATTAAACTGATAGAGGCTATCTAGAGAAACCCACAGCCAATATCATATTAAATGGAGTAAAATTGAAAACATTTCCACTCAGATCAGGAACCAGGCAAGGTTGCCCATTGTCTCCACTGCTTTTTAACATTGTAATGGAAGTCTTAGAAATCATAATCAGGCAAGAGAAGGCAATCAAGGGTATATAAATGAGGTCAGAGGAGATCAAACTTTCACTCTTCACAGATGATATGATTTTATATCTGGAAAATCTCAGGACTCAACTATAAAACTCCTAGAAGTGATCAAGGAATACAGTAGCTTCTCAGGATACAAAATCAATAGTCACAAATCAGTAGCTTTTATATATACCAATAATAGTCAAGCCAAAACAATAGTCAAGGACTCTATTTCCTTTACAGTTGTGCCAAAGAAGATGAAATATTTGGGAATTTACCTAACAGAGGATGTATAAGATCTCCATAAAAAGAGTTATGAAACTCTGAGAAAAGAAATAGTTGAAGACATTAACAAATGGAAAAACATATCATGCTCATGGCTGGGAAGAATCAACATTGTTAAATTGTCCATATTACCCAAAGCAATTTACAAATTTAATGCAATCCCTATCAAAGCACCACCATCATACTTTAAATTCTGGAAAAATATAGTCCTTCATTTTATATGGAATCAGAAAATACCTTGAATAGCCAAGACATTACTCAGAAATAAAAAAAAAATCCGGAGGAATCACACTACCTGACTTCAAACTATACTGTAAATCTATAGTGATCAAAACAATATGGTGTTGGCACAAAAATAGAGAGGTAGATGTATGGAATAGAATAGAGAACCAAGAGATGAACCCGGACACTTATCGTCATTTGATCTTTGATATACCTCTATGTATATATGACTCAGTAAAAAATATATATATAAATTGGGGGAAAGATTCCCTATTTAACAAATGGTGCTGGGAGAATTGGCTGGCAACTTGTAGAAGACTAAAACTGGACCCACACCTTTCACCATTAACAAAAATTGATTCTCACTGAATAAAAGATTTAAACTTAACACTTGAAACTATAAAGATTCTTGGAGAGAGTGCAGGAGAAACACTTGAAGAAATTGGACTGGGAGAATACTTTATGAGGAGGACCCACCAGGCAATTGAAGCAACACCAAAAATACATTACTGGGATCTGATCAAACTAAAAAGCTTCTGCACAGCCAAGAACACAGTACGTAAAGCAAGCAGACAGCCAAGGAATGGGAAAGGATATTTGCAGGTTGTCGCTCTGACAAAAGTTTGATAACCAGAATCCACAGAGAACTCAAACTTATTAATAAAAGAAGAACAAGTAATCCCATTTCATTGTGGGCAAGGGACTTGAATAGAAGCTTCTCTGAAGAAGATAGGTGCATGGCCTATAGACACATGAAAAAATACTCATCATCTTTAATCATCAGAGAAATGCCAATCAAAACCACTTTGAGATATCATCTAACTCTGGTAAAAGTGGCTCACATAACAAAATCCTAAAACTACAGATGTTGGCATAGATGTGAAGAGAAGGGAACACTTCTGCATTGCCGGTGGGAGTGCAAGCTAATATGTCCCTTTTGGAAAGAAGTATGGAGAATACTCAGGGATGTTAAAGTAGACCAGCCTCTTATCCTGCAATTCCTCTACTAGGTGTATATCCAAAAGACCAAAAATCACTTTATAACAAAGATATTTGCACCAGAATGTTCACTGCAGCTCAATTCATAATAGCCAAGTCATGGAAGAAGCCCAAGTGCCCATCAACCCATGAAAGGATTAACAAATTGTGGTATATGTATACCATGGAATATCATGCAGCCTTAAAAAAGATGAAGACGTTACCTCTTTTATGTTTACATGGATGGAGCTGGAATATATCCTACTCAGTAAAGTATTTCAAGAATGGAATAAAAAATATCCAATGTACTCAGTTCTATTATTTACAATTTACAATCGCTCACACTTTTATATGAAGAATAGATCACAACTATGGCCCAGGATGAAGGAGGGAGGAGAGGGACAGGTGGGAAGAGGGGAGGTCAGATCGAGGGAGGGTGAATGGTGGGATCACACCTATGGTGCATAATGCAAGTGTACACGTTGGATCTATTAAGTATAGAGTATAAATGTCTTAACACAATAATTAAGTAAATGAGATGAGGTATATATTAACCAGTGTGATGTAAATGCTCCTAATTCTACGTGAAATCAGCACATTGTACCCCATAAATGCATTAATGTATACATGAAAGAAAATGCTCAACATTGGTAATCATTAGGAAAATGTGAATTAAAACCATACCTGTTAGAATGGCTGCTATCAAACGGTTGATAAGGATGTGGTAAAAAGGGAACCCTTGTACACTGTTGGTGGGATTGCAAATTAGCACAGCCATTATGAAAAACTGTATAAAGGGTAGTCACAAAGCTAAAATAGAATTACATTATGACACAGTAAACCTACTTTTGAGTATTTAGCCAAAAGATTTGATTCAGTATATTTAAGAGATACTTGCCCTCCCACGGTCACTGCAGCACTGTCACAATAACCAAGACATGGACTCAATCTAAGCGTCTATCAACAGATGATGAGGAAAGTGTGGCACACATGCAGGAGGGAATGTCATTCAGCCATAGACAAGAAGGAAATTCTGTCATTTGCAACCACATGGATGGAATTACAGGATGTTATGGTAAGGGAAATAAGCCAGGCTCAGAAAGATAAACACTACATGTTCTCACTTATATGTGGAATTGAAACCTATTGTTCTCATGGAATCACTGTGGAATGGTGGTTGCAGAGGTTGGGGGTGAGGGCATGGAAAAGTCAGTATAAGCCTCAGTTACACAGGAGGAATAAGTTTTTGTTTGTTTGTTTGTTTTTGAGAACTGTTGCACAGCGTGGTGAATATAATTATTAATAGTATATTGCACACACATTTAAAAATTGCTAAGAGAATAAATCTCAAATCTTCACTATAAAAGTAATAAATAATTAAGCTGAAACATATGTTAATTACTTTGAGTTAATTTTTTGGCATTGTGTTTATAAATCATAAGATCACATTCTATCCCATAAATATAAACCATTATAAATTGTCAATTTACGGGTGGCATCTGTGGCTCAGTGAGTAGGGCGCCGACCCTATATACCAAGGGTGGCGGGTTCAAACCTGGCCTTGGCCAAATTGCAACAAAAAAATAGCTGGGCATTGTGGTGGACGCCTGTAGTCCCAGCTACTCGTGAGGCTGAGGCAAGAGAATCGCCTAAGCCCAGGAGTTGGTTGCTGTGAGCTGTGTGATGCCACAGCACTCTACTGAGGGCAATAAAGTGAGACGCTGTACAGTCCATCTTACAAGTACATGTGAAATTTACCAGGTGTAGAATATAAATGTCTTAACACAAAAACTAAGAAAATGCCATGAAGGCTATATTAACTGGTTGGTGAAAATATTTGAAATTGTATATAAAACTAGCACATTGTACCCCATGATTGCATTAATGTACACAGCTATGATTTAATTAAAAATAAATAAATAAATTGTCAATTTACAATAAAATAAAGTAGGAAAAAATGTGTTAAACTATAAATAATAAAATACATTACCTAGTCAATGTGGTTGTTGTGAGGATTAAAGTAGCAAATGTTTACCTGCTCTGAAGTCAGCATCCAACAGCTATTAAATTATTACTATCTCTGTTCTTATTATCACTGTAACACTTCTACCTGCCTTTAATCGGCACCAGGGGTCTAAGGACTCACTAACAACTCAAAATCGCACAGTAGATCTGGATACGTTGATACAGAAAAAGGGGACCCAACAAGATGGGCCTATGTATGTACAGGAGGCAGAAATCTTGTTTCCTATAAACTAAAACATTCACTTCCAATCAAGCCATAAAAATTTTCAACCTTAGCAATTCAGTTCCAGGAAACAAATATCACTGTTTTCTGTCCAAATAGAATGTTGTGATTTAAAAAAAAAAGAAGATTAGATACATGTGAAAAGTTTATGTTCTTCAAAAACCTCTACGTCTCCTCAAGAGAGAGAGATGGTGACAAATATGGCCCATCCCCGTATCTAGAGCAGCTGTTTTCTGCCCATTCTGCACCGACAACAGCCATCCTGATGTTGGAGATGTACTTTCAAAGTGACCACCTTTTGCCGCTGAGACAAATTGAAGGAAGTGACTGCTGGAGGAAGGCTAGCCCCGCTCCTGCAGAATCAAAGCCCCCAAGAGGCACCTGCTCCCAGATAAGTGGTGAGTCTCTGGCACCGGCGCATCAAAGGCATCGTGCTCCAACACGGAGGACACGACTGTTATGTGGTCAACCTGTTTCCTGAGAGCTCTTCCCTGCAGGTGACACAGGAAAAGTCTTCAAAGGAGGCAGCAGGCATCAGAGAGAAGGAAAAATACCTGCAACTTCTCTATTCCTTAGCTGAATATTTGAAGCCATTTGGCTAAATTCTTGGAGTAAGGGGGAAAAAGCTGATCAGGGGTATAGGATCTATCGACTAGAAAAAAAGAAGGAGCTAATTAGAAATCCACTGCCCAGGGGCTGCTGTCTCTGTGGCCATCCAGGTGATTGCTCAAAGAGAGCTGCCCAGTGTGTGGTCTCCCCACCCACCATGCCCCTCTCCTCATGACCTGTCCAGCCCCCAACACCAAAGCACCCCACCAGGGATGCTGAACAAAACCCCAGAACTCCCCTGCTTTCCCACTCTTCCCTTCCTCTCAGTTATTTACTCAGCTTGTTAAGGGTTGTTCTCCCAGCCCCGAAATTACCCTCCTTCCCTTCACCGCTGTTTGCTACTATCATGGAAAAAAGAAAGAAATCTCTGCTTTGATCAGCCTTCAGAGAACACGTCAAACTTTATTACACCTGATTTCCAGCTGGTGTGTCTCTGGCAGAGAAGTAAGGATGGCCCCTGATGCTGATGACATATTGTAAAACAAAGCAAGTCCAACAGAATCCAGCCGTAATGAGGTAGGCACTAAAGCTTCCTTTGATCATCAGTGGATAGTGCTGAGATATTAGGCAGACACTGGCTTATTTAGGACCTGTTAATGAACACTTAAGCCCATGAGTGGCAAAACCACCACCAACAAGAACCTGAGCAAACAGTTCAGGAGTAATTCTTGAGCACAAATCCATCTTCTTTCCTGTGTATGAAGTGTGGTTAGCTTTAGTATCAGGCAGCTATTCCACCATGCTTTTGGGGGGCTTCTTAAAAACTCCCCCACCCCAAAGCTCTCCAATCCTAAGTCTTTGCAGGGGATGTATGTACACTTTGTTGCAGAGAGTACATTGCCCTATTTTGTGGTAACCACACACAGGTCAAACTTGGGGGATCCCCCTTTCCAAACTCCTCGTTGAGTTCATATGATTTGAGGGGGTTTAGGTTTTAGACAACCAGTGCATTTGGGTCCTGGGGATGTAGTGCTTGGCTCAAGAATAAAAAGGAGATCTCAATGGGTCCCCTGAGAACATATTTCAGAATTTATACAGGAATGTCACAGAAAGCAGGTATCTTTTCTATTGGGTTTGAGCCAGTTCTCAGGGATTCATGCTGCTCCCACAGGGCAAGCTCTGCCAGAATGAAAGGCATCCTCACGAAACAGAAGAAAGAGTCCCTGTGAGTAGGAGGGCAGAGAAGGAAAGAGACAGAGAATGTTCTGGCGATGTATTTTGAAGTTCTAAATAAAACCTTAAGCTAGCCCCAACTCTGGACTTTTCAATCATGTGAGACAATTTCTTTCTTTCTTTCTTTCTTTCTTTCTTTTTTTTTACTTAAGTCAGTGTAGGTGGGATTTTCTGTTTTCCAATCCCTAAGACTCTCAACTGATATTATGGCTCACATCTGAAATGCTTCCACTGGGGATCAGTTGCCTTAAAATAAACAAGCATCCTTGGGAGGCATAAGACAACATGCCTTTATGTAATTTGCAATTCAGTGTGAATGAGCTCTCCAGTGGATTTCCTGAGAGGAGGTTTTGATATGGGGTGGGGGGGGAACCATACAAGCTTCTTAGGTCTCTGGGTGGGTAAAGAAGAGAAAGCAAATAAAATTAAATAGGACTGGCAGCTTTAAGGGCAGGTCTTCTCTGCTATAGCGGTTCTCAGCCTGTGGGTCGCGACCCCTTTGCAACAATGAAAATACATCGCGGCATTAGGAAGTCTGAAAACCACTGGAGAGGCTAGCCATAGGGGCCTGCACAGGTGGCTGTGATACTTCTCCAAGAATCCCCAGGCTTTCTTTCTCAAGGGCCTAGAAACGACAACAAAGTATCACATGCACCAGGCAGCTCTCTGCCAACCCCTGTGATTCACAGAGCTGCACCGTGACAGCAGTGTAGGCTGTGGGTTTTGATTTTTAAGTTGTGCACCAGGCTGTGAGGCTTACTGATTGATGTGGAAACCGAATGCTGTGAAGTTTTCCAATTTTCCTTGCAATCTCTGTGTTCCTGGGGGTGGGTGTTCATGAGTCACCCTGGAGAACTAAGGGGAAGAGAATGGTTCTTTGCCGGGAGTTTCACTGAAGCCTCAGGGCCACGTCTCATTGGCTCTGATTGGGTGCCGTGCCCATCCCTGAGCCAATGGCACGTCCAGAAGGATGAAGTGCTCTGATTGGCTGCCCTGAGTCACGTGGCCACCCTTGGAGCCCCAGGCCTCAAGAACGTCTCCCCGGACTTCCATTTCTGGTGTTCCCTCAACCTGCAATGTCCTTTTCTGCCTTGACCCTCTGACAGACTGGACGCACCTACATCTTTCAGGTGCTGCCTCCCCTGAGAAACTTTAAGTAATTTAGTTATTTTTGCTCTTGTGTTTTCAGTTCATGACTAGATTGTTCATTCACTCAACAAACATTTGCTGGGCAAGTACTATGTGCCTAGTGTTAACGTTTAGACTCAGTCTGCCACCTGGCATTTCTAAAGTTCAGCCTAATGGGTTCTCTTTACACAGTGAATTGTAACCTAACCAGAGGTATAGAGGGCCTGTAACCTGCGCTTGGACCCATCACAGATAGCCAACTATTCCAACCCCTTTGAATCAGGCAAACGCTGAGCCTTAACCCATTCAGCTGTTTCTGTACCTCATTTTCCTTTCTGCTCACAGATGCTGTCTAACCAATCAGCAGCCCTGAGGGTAACCTGAACCCAATCTGGCTGTGGGGCTGTCCAATTCTCAACTTGCTTTTGCTCAATTAAACTCTGTTAAATTTGTCTGAATTTTTGCTTTTAACACTAGTGTTGTTGAAAGTGATGGCAATACAGCATTGAACAAAGAGAGTCAAAATAGCACCATTCCATGGAGCTTATCAGTAAACACAGTCAAACCACAAATATAATAAATAATGTGTATATATATATCATATAAAGGAATGAAAAAGCATATATGGTATGTATGAGATCTATCTGTCTTTCTATTTATCTATCAACAGAGGGTGTAAAAATGTGTGTACATTTTAAGAGATGTTATCTCTTAAAGATGTGTGACCTTTCAACGTTGAGTTGAGGGTACCAGTATTGGTCAAGTGTACCTGGACATTCTATGTACATCCCTTTACCTGCAATTTGTATACTTTTTGGAAATGATGGATTTTACTTCCAACAAGATCTCTTAAAATAGTATAATTTTTTGGCACCCCTGGTATATATATGAATGAAAATGAAGCAGGGGTGGGGAAAGGCAGACCTAGGGGTGTGCAGATTTCACAACTGTTGCTCAGTGAGGTCCTCCATGAGCCGAGATAAAAGAACAAGCCACATAGATGTCAGGGGAGTAAGAGTGCTAGGGTGAGAGGGGGCAGACAGGCACCTGCCCTGTCAGAGGAGTGGCAGAGACTCCAGTGTAGCTGAAATTAGAAGAGTGAGAGGAGCCCTGCTGGGGTGAGGTCAGCACTATGGCAGGTGTGGCCACTGGGGTTGGGCTCTGTTTGTCCTTGTCAACACTTTGGCTTTTCTTATGAGGAGAGGAAGCCAATGAGTATATTTAAATTTTTTAAAGTTGATACACAATAGATGTACATATTTGGGGGATACAGGTGATAATTTAATACATTCATGTAATTTGTAAAGATAAACATCAATGTAATTGGGATAGCCATCACCTTAAGTAGTCATAGTTTCTTTATGCTAAGAACATGTGAATTCTTCTTTATTTTTCAATATACAATAGATTATTGTAAACTACAGTCACTTGACTGAATGATCAAACACCAGCTCTTATTTCTTCTATCAAACTCTGTATTTGTGCCTGTTTAGCGGTGTGGGGGTCATTGTGCTCAGGGCAGCAAATGGCTCTGAGCAGAGAAATGACAGGCTCACATCTACGCTTTAATCACCTTGGCTGGCATATTGGAAATGGATGGATTATGGAGAGGGAGCACTCGAGCAAGGACAGGCCCCAGGAAGGCTGCAAGGATGCCATGTTGCTGTGACTGAGGTGGTGCTGGGCCCTGGGTCAGGGTGGGGGCCTAAGGGAGGCAGGTTGGATCCCAGAAGTATTTTGAAGACATTGCCAATAGGACCTGCTGAGGGACTGGATGTGGGGAAAGGGAGAAAGAATGAAATCAAGGCTGAGCCCAATACTGAGACTCTAGGAATTGCCCTGTGCCAGTGTGGAGAAGATTCTGGAATAATCAGGTGGAGTGGCGTATAGTGCCCCAAATCCCACTGCCTTGCTGTGTTCTTACATCTCTGCCTTCTCTCTGAGCTCCTCAAGGACAAGGAATGTGTGTCGCATTTGTGTGGCCCCAGTAGCTTGAACAGCACCCAGCACTTAGTGGAGATTTAGTCTGCGTTTGTTGACTGCTTTCTAAATGGCTGGAAATGCTCCCTGATAGTTCACTCCCGAGTAGAGAGATTAATGCAGCTCTTGCTGAGAATGCAGACTCTGTGCTCTGTCGCTGGGACCCATGATAAAGGAGGCAGGCGTGTGGCCCCTTGAGAAGCCTCCATTGCTGCCCTGGGGCATTTGCTGGAAGATTTGCTGAGGACAGAGGTGCTGGCTACACCTGCCATCACTACCTGGGCTCTGGAGCGGGTGACAGCAGCCAGACAAGCCCATGTTCCTCCTGCTGACTGGAAACTACAAGCTTCCCCTGCCTTGCACACCTCTCTCTCAGCCTGCCTTTGTGTTGAATCATCTTTTCATTCAATTTAAGAAGAGAAAGAAGAGGCCAGAGGAAGGAAATAGGGGTGAGAGCAGTCTGTGGGCATCCCTAACTCAGTGAGAACTTTGTGGCTGGGCAGCAGAAAGGAGAATGATTTCCTCCCTCTCTCCTTCGGTCAGTGCTGTAAATCAAAGCTGGTGCAGCTGTGTACTTTGCATCACCATTGATTGTACACAGATGCTTTGTGCTATCAAATCATCCCAGAGACTTGGCAGTATACTCAACAATCGAGGTTCTAGTTCTCCTTCTTTCCCCGTCCAGGCCTGGGGGTGGGTAGAGAGGAAGCTTCATGTGGGTGGGGGCCCCCGCCTCCCACCATGACCTCCCCAGAGGGTGGGGGCTGGAGAGAGGCCAGAGGAACTGGTCAAGCACACTGTGTCAAGACACTGCCCCCAGACCTAGGGTCATCATCATCCAGAGAAGTTTTTCATTGCACTCATTTCTATGTTGGGGAGAAACTTCCAATTTAAGTGGCAAGACAATGAGAATGGAACTGGAGGGATCCCCTGGGGCCCAGAGGTCCTGCCAGTCACTGAACACTGCAGCAGACCAGACAGCAGGTCGTGTAGGGGCAGGGAGGTGTCCACTTGCCTTAATCACGTCTTCGTCAGACGATCGACACTCCACGGACTCCACCAGGTCGGTCACGGTGCCATCATCCTCCACTGAGACCACCTTCACTGGAACCGCCACCGTCTTCCCCGTGAGGATGGCTGTGTTTAGGATTTCTGCCTCCTGGAAGACCAAACACACCTCCATCACACCCCTGCTGAAACGCCCAGGCCACCTTCCCTGTGTCCCCCCTGCAGGCAGCACCGGGTTTTTAATCAGGCTCAGGCCAACCTGGCACGAGACACCTGCTGAGTGTCTGTGGTGGCCAAGAGAGAATCTCTGTCTTCACCCATATTCTGCAGGGAAACCATGATGAGGGAGGGATTGGAAGTGAACATATTTCATACTATTACCATGTTTGGTGAACACATCAAATGTCCTCTACACTCTTTCTACAAATGTTGACCCCTCACAGCATCCTGACAACAGGCATTACTGTTCTTCCTGTTTTACAGAAGACACAGAGAAGTTTTGTAACTTTGCCAGTGTCACTCGGCTAGGAAGTAAGAAAGACGGGACTCAGTAGGCATAAACTTATGTCTACTTACTCCAACTGAGGCAGCCAACGGCTAGCCAGAGGGGTAAGCTGTGGTGAACGGCACTTAGACTAATGTAAGACCCCCACGTGTGGGGTGCAGTGGGAGAAGCCTCCTGCTTCATGCTTGTCACCCTCTCTGTCTTTCAGAACCTCCTTCTATTGTCTAGGCTGTTACCAGGTCTGGCTGCTGGCACATCTGGTTCAGAAGACTGAACCCCAAGCACCAGCAATGGCACCCCGTGCCCCCACTGCCAAGACATACGCCTTCTGCTGCCAACTCTTCCCTCACAGACCAGGTCAAGAGGTGAGTGTTTTGGGGCCCAGCCGCCCTGGTGATTGCCCTTCAGAGCTGGGAACACCCTGGGCTACTCTCCTTGGTAACTCCAACTCAGTTGTCATTTTAGTCTTACTTATAGTTCGCTAATCACTTTGCCTCTTTTCCAGACTGTAACCCCCGTGAGGCTGTGTCTATTTCCTGCTCCTCTAGCACACTGCCCAGTGACAATGCTTGGTAAACATATGTGCCAAGCGCATGGATGAGGCCTCAACAGGGAAAGGGCCAGGACCCACATCATCACCCTTTGTTCTCCAGCACCACACTCTAAGCATGAACCCCTTCCTCCTGCACACCTGAGCCTCAGGCAGCCCTTCCCAGACTCCCAGCCACACCCTGCCTTCTGCACCTGTCCCTCCAGTGCACCAGCTCTTGTCCTGACTTGCTCTGATGAAATTCTTGTGATTTTTGAAAGGTGGGGACCTGAGAAAGCATCTGAGCCCGTTTCCCAGATAAAGAAGACTGAACCCCAAGAACAAGCAAGTGCATCTCATTCTGCCTGGCATAGGTTGTCTCCTCCAGCACGTGAAGCCGGAAGTCCCAATATAATCTGCATCTCTGTATAACTACAACTTCCAAGTCCCACCCCGGGCCATTATTCTTGCTCAGTTCCAGCTCATCTCTTGCCAGTGGTGTCCCTTCAGGGTGTTGGATCAATTTGCCACATTGCATTTCTTCTGTAAGTCAAACTTGTCTGTCCTATCCTTGATAGAATAACAGCAAAAAGTCTGGGTGGGGGCTAGGAGCTGCTTAGGGCCCCTAACACAGTTGTCATTTCACTTCCACTTAAAATGATCCAATCGCTTCATCTTCCTCCCAGACGTAAGCTCAATAAAGGCTATATCTGCATCACTTTGAGAGATGGCTTGGGATGGAAGATTGTTGTCACTTTGATTTTTTTGTGAACTCCAAAACGCCTGTTAGTAGCATACCAACAGAAGGAATAGGAGTTTATCATACTAAAATTACATAACTATTTTCCTTATGTTAACTTTTTATTTCTTATTTAAGATCTCATTTTTCCTTCCTAGTATGAAGTTGAGCTATAGCTAGCTCATTTGGTTTAGCTGTTGGATATAATAATATATATATATTTTCCATTATTTTAATTCTATAATTAAAGACAAGACTCCCATTTGGAATGCTCCTACGTTTCAAAGACTATGTCTTACATTGTCTCAATGTGCACAGGCCTTCAAAGGCTCCTGTGTGGATACAGTTTTTGTTGTTTCTCCACTGTGGTTCTCAGCCTGATTTTATTTATTTTGGGTGAAACATGGCGAAAAAAATGGAGGGGAAAAATCAGTATATGATGTTACTGGCTACCTCTGGGGAAGAAACAAGCCCCATGTACTTTTTTACACTAAAGGGTGAGGATAAAAAGAACAAGTCGTATGTTGAAAAGGAGTGGAAATGCCGTTACCTCCCTGGCCCCGACTGACTCATTGCACAGGAAAGACACAGACTGGGGGCTGGGGTCGTGTTGCCACTTCTGCCACCCATCTCAGGGAGGACAAGCCTGCACATCCATGGTAGACAGTACAGAGCATCTCCACTCCAACGGTAAAAGCCAAAAGGCCTTTAGTAGTTTTGCACACTCGGGTTAGCATCCTGAGAAACGACGGGAATATCTGAGGAGCAGCTGCAAGCCCATATGTCTGGGGTGCTGTCTTTCACCCTGAATAGCACACATCACTCTGCCGACTGAGATCTCAGTGGGGAGGAGTGACTGAGCTCCAGGCTTGGTATTTCCCTGCCTCCTGTGTGTGCTTCGATGCCTTGACATCAGGCATCTTCTCCCTCGAACAGCTTTGCTTTACCCAGGGGGGAATGATATGGGGATGACTTATAGAAGTCTTCAGACAGGGAGAACCACAGAGATCATGTCGATGGTGGATGCTCCTGTGTAGCCTCAATGTTGGCTGAGACGGGACCTATAACTGCTTTGATTACTGAGCCTCATAAAACCCCTGAAAGCTGAGCTGCCTATTGCCAGGGGGTGACCTTATCACAGTCCCTCAGGGACCAGGAAATAAAGGCCCAGCATCGCTTTAGGAAACACTACCTCCAACCCTGACTAATCACAGTCCTTACTGGTCACTCCATATCCCCCTTCTGCTACGGGGCTTTCAAGTCTCTGACAAACTGAAGCAGAACTTTGGGCTCTCCAGGGGGTGGGAGGAGGTGGAACGCGGAGGGGAGCCTGGATGCAGCACTGAGGAGAGGGACCACGGTGAGGCCATAGATCCTTTCTCCAGGATCAACCTCATTGCCGTTCACTATAGGGGAACAATACCTGTCCCTGTTTTGCTGGAGAAATGATGTCCTGTGTCTTAGTTTGGGCTCCCCTTGAAATAGATTGTGGGGCAAAGATTTAAGAGCAGTTTGTTTGGGAGGGACACAAAACTTCAGTTGCAGAATATGGTGGCAATGCAGTGAAGAGAAGACAGCAAAGTATGTGTGTGCGCGTGTGTGCATGTGTGTGCTAAACCCATCAGCATAGCAGGTGCATGGGGCTTAATCCTGCAGAGGTTGATCTATATTATGAAATATATATTCCGTAGGTGTGCCTTAGCCCATTTGTGTTTCTACAAAGAAATACCTGAGGCCAGGTAGTTTATAAAGAAAAAAAGGTTTATCTGGTTTACAATTCTGCTGGCTGGAAGATTGGGCTTCCGGTCAAAACCTCAGGTAGCTTCTGCTCATGGTGGTAGGCAACCGGGAGCCAGTGTGTGCAGAGATCACACACGGTGAGAGAGGAAGCAGGTGGCCAGGATCCTTCCACAATAACAGTAAGAACTCACCAAAAGACTCCCACCCTGGGAGGGCCTTAATTTATTCGTGAGGGTCCTCCTTCCCCATGACCCAGACACCTCTCATCAGGCCACCTCCAACATCGGGGATCAAATTTCAACACGAGGTATTGAGGGACAGATGTTCAAACTACAGCAGTGTGTAAATGTCTACATGTTTCAATACATTGAAATCTGCTGTGATTTATTTCCTTGCAGGGAAAGGTGAAGGCGCCATTGCATGCTGGGGGAGCTGGGGTATTTATACACCCCTCCTCAGTGCAGCTCCTGGGGTGGAACAGTCCCCACCACACCCAGCCTGCTGCACGTGCAGGCAAAGGAGACTTTGACCGCATCAAAGAAAGCTCCTGACAGAGGGTGGCACTTGGAACTGGAGCATTGTGCCAAGGGCAGGTACAAGGAAATGCCCAGGGCCTGACCGAGTCTGCTACAGCATAACTTGAAGTAATGCATCGCATGGAAGTCGGACAGACTAGAACCATAGTTAGAGTGTGTGTTTTTCTTTAGTTTTGCTTTGATTCTTTTTAAAAATTCCCTCATGCTTCCAGGCTCTGGATTTTCTGCTTCGAGTATCAGCATAGTCACTTATTCCTATTCACCCTTGAAATTTAATTTTAAAACAGAGCCAAGGAAAATAATGGAGAGAGAAAAACATGACATTGAGGAAAATTCTTAAACACTTCCAGGGCCGATCTCTGTGTCAGAGGCAGTTTGGCACCCAACGTGCATGCTTCCTAACAAAACCCGGTTTTCTCTGTGGCTGGAAGAGCCCAGATAACATGACTGCACGTGTGGCTGCCCTTCATTTGTGACACACAGTTCTGGTCCATGAGGTAGAAACGGAAGTCACCAGGCGAGGCTTCCAGAAACGCGTGTTAAACCAGCAAACAGAAAATCCAAACAGATTTGGAAGTCCATTTCCTTTCTTCCTGTCCATGGGGCACAAAACGGAGCTGCAGCTTGACCCTTGAAGGTGAGAGTCTGGGGTCAAGGGCAGGGCTCTCTGGCTGGACCACACCAGGTTTGGATCCTGGGTTTCATGCTACCAGCTAGGTGACTTTAGGCATGTCAGTTAGCTCTTGGTATCTAATTCTGTAAAATCAGACCATCATATCAATAGTAGGTACCTCTTGGGTTTGGCCTACTTTAGGTGAGTTACTATTTGTAGAGTGTTGAGAATAGTACCTGGTATCTGGTAAGGGTGTTTCTGAATGTTTGATAAATGAAAAAAGATAAATGATCATATAATGGGTGGAGTACAAAATTCACATCCACCTGGAATCTCAGAATGTGACCTTAGTTGGAAATAGGGTCTTTGTAGATGCCATTAGTTGAGAGGAGGCCCTCGTCTCCACATACACTTACAGGAATGTCCAACCTTTTTTTCTTTGCCACACATTAGAAGAATAGGGTTGTCTTGGGCCACACATCGAATACA